GTACCTGGATTGCTGCACTACACAAACTTCAAAGTCTACAGTGTAGTCTGTTCTCATTGATGGCTTTTGCATAATATCTACTAGCTGAAGAGTAAGAAAGCTCCTTTCCTACGGTCCAATTTTTTATTTTGAGTCAGCCTGACATTCAAAAAAACCAAACCAAACCAAAAAAACATCACATCCACAGGACAGTTCTCATCATCAGGCTGACAGTGACAAAACAGCAAAGGTAAAAGATGAAGTAAAGTTGGACAGACTTTTTTTTTTTTTCCTACTGCTGATGCTCTGGCACTATTCATTTAAAAACAAAACAAAACACAACCCAAATAAAAAACCAAACCAACCATAAAACTTTCACTAACATGCATTCAATGAAACAGTTTCCAAACTAGATTCATGTAACTGTTGCAAATGCTGAGCACTATTGTACCCCGCGGAAGGAGACATTGGCTGCTGACTTACAAAATACTCTGAGAGGATGGAAGGACCTTCCTTGAATAACTCAGTGGTCTCTACTCCAAAATCAGGTTTTGCTTCACACAAGCATTCTGACTGATCTTCTTTTTATTGGTATCACACATTAAGCACCAGCATTCACACACAAGATTTTTGGATTACATTCTGGCCAGGGTAGCCAGAAGCTATAGAATGCAACCTAATTTGTCAATATGAGTCCTTACAAGATCCAAAGCAGTTCTTGCAGATGAGTGGTTTTAGCATACAGATTATGTACCAACAAGCACATTAAATCACATCAATTTTTTGTAAATATAAACACATTCTAAAACCAAGTTGAAGAGAATTGGAGTAAATAAGGAACTGGATTCTTTTATTATTAAGCAAACCCCTGGCTCTTGGTGGTGACAGAAGACCTCTGAAGAACTATTAATTCCAGTGACTGCTGAGCAGAGTGAATGTTTATCAACTTAAAAAATGCTGGTTTAGTATGAGCCAAATAAACCAAAATGCAAAGGAACTAAGCTTCAGGGATATACAATCAGTTTTACAGCAAAATATATATTTATTTATTTTTAATTTATATATATATAAACTTAATAGAATTTTTCTTATGCAAATGTTGAGGGTGATGATTTTGAAATATCAAAACAGAAGGTGAAGACAAAGCCAAATAATATACTGCAAGCTTTTCAGAGTCCCTACATTACAGTCAAAAATAGAACTTCAAAGACTTTAAACCTAACAGCAAGTCTTACTTCAAGGGAGAACACATTAAAGTCTTCTCATAAGCCAGGCAAAGTGTTTGCACTTTTTTCACTGCAGAAAAATAGTTAAGTAGTCTTAAAGTGACAACAGTCTCTCTCCCAGGTGAAGATCAGAATCCAAGCCCTTACTTTCCACTGTGCAGAAAATGATAAGCAACTCTTGACTCAGAGAATTAGTTTAGGAGATGAAATCTTTATACTTTAATAAACAAGCATCTAAGTCCTCAAACGCCTCAAACATCAACAAGTCATTGCACAAGTAGTTAAAACAGTAAGATGATCCAATAAACCAGCAGCAATCCAACTGCAAGCAGGCAAATCAAGAAACTTGGCAAGCACCAGGAGTACTCTGCATGCATCCCAAAGAAGCAAATTCTGAAATTATTTCCGTATATTAAGGAAAAAAACTCATGTAAGCATACTTTATCACAAAAATATGTTATTTACACCATACATTATCTATTGAGAACTAGGCTTGCCAAGCACTAGACTGCAAATAACAAAATTGCCTAGTTTGCAGCAATGGTAACACAAATGATGCCTGGAATTGAAGGTCTTGCAATGCACTGCTGCAATGAAATGCAAAAGTTTGATAAATAGCAAAACTTTGTGAGTTAAACAGACCTGTGGTTTTAAAGCTTCTACTGTGTTTACTTACAAAGTTACATGTTTCACAAATACACAGACACAAATAGACAGATACTCTTAAAACAGTAAAAATTATTCCATTACACTTTGCGGATCTTGGTTTTCAATAAACCCAAGCAATGTTAAATATTGCTGGAGTAGATTTTATACTTCACTGCTAATTTTACACTAAACAAACACTGCAAAAGGGAAAACAGGCCTTTATGACACACGTAGAAAAAAAAGCAATTCCCGTCCTTTCCGTAACGCCTACGTTTCCAGAAAACCAAGGACCTGGTCCTTAAACTGTACATTTAATTTTACTCTCATGACTAAATCTTGATTTTAATAGAAAAGAATTAATATTCATGAAAGTAAACAAGTATAGGCATGTATTCTGGATTAAGGAAGAACTGGGCTTTTTACACAGTAATTACTTCAGTAAATAAATTTTACTCCATACAGAGGTTTTGCTTGTTGTAGTTAAATGAGACTGAACTCCACTGCATGTTCTGTACTCCAGCTGCTTCAAGTACAGTGAACTATCAGTCCTCAGAAGGCAGAATCCTGCCTTGTTCAAAGTCAATGGGGATTTTGTCTATGATTTCAGAGTAAAATAATGTTTTTGAGTCAGGTTTTCCCTCTCTCCCATTTTTTTTTAAAGTCAGATTAGAGATAAATCCTTCCCATTATGAAGAAATTTGAGTACAAACCAAAAAGAATATATGTATGCAGGATTTATTCTCCTCTTGCCACTATTTGACTCCAGCAGAAGCTGAGAATTTTATAATTTTTCTCTTCTCTGCCCATCCCCAATCCCGTTTTGTTCCATTCCTCATAAACAAAATCATATTAATGAACTTCACTAAGACCAAAAAGTACATACCAGAGCAGTTTAGTAAGCAGAACAATGTAGCACACACAGTAGGACTAGCCATGTTCATTCCGATCACTGCACACTTGGCTGTGCATACTCTCCTTCCTTTTTGAGTGAGAGCTGCCCTTGTCTAGCTATTTCTTTCCTTGACCTGCATTAAGCCATCCTTCTGTCCCTCTTATTTTCATTCCATTAAGAATCTCAACTAGGAATACATGACTTTCAAGTGTGAAAACCATTGGACTCTGGAAAGACTCCACATTTCATAGTCAGGAAGTTACAAAAGCATGTGGGGAATGTTATCTAATCCTAACTGTTCAGGTAGATGAACATGTTGCCAGGTGATCCAAATGTCCAGATCTCTCCCAGGGCTGTACTTTTTGTGTTGGCAGATAGAATTTCCCTCAAAGGCTAAAAATGAGGCAAATACCAGTAGAAACACATGATTTATGAGAAGCAAAACTGCATTGTTATGCCAGATCCTAGTCGGCTCCCTGCCAGCCCTCACAAGGAGTTTGGGTAACTTATTCACTACTGAATTTGGGTATCTAAAATGAAGATAGTGTTCCTGTAGTTGTTGTCCTTCTAATTGTTTTCTCAGTGAGAGAACATGCAGCTTGTTACCAACAAAATACTGAAATAAGAGCAAAACCATCTTGCTTGCACAAGATTACAGACCATGGCAGAAGCACTCTGAGTATTTCACTGATGTCTATTTCTGGATACGTGTCTAGTTAATGCAAGATGATATTAAGAGGCATCCACAGAACAGTTTTGCAGGCAATAAGCTCCATATAGTCCTGCCACTGCATTTTCTTGCATGAAAAGTTTCCTGTGATTAATGTAAAGCCTCTAAAGTTTGTGCGCCTTCGTATTTTTTGAGTAGAAGAACTTACATGCCTTGTAGAGCTACCTTGACTTGAATGCTAATGTTTGCATTCTGTGCTCTTCCCCTATAAATCTTTCTAAGGATATAAGTTAGCTTTACACATTTATCCTAGTTACAGGCTCTACCACGAACACAAACACAAGGGTATCACAATTTCAAGGCAGATGAAAGCTCCATAACTTGGGTGAAAAAGAAACACTTAACTTAGTGGTTGATTTAAGCCTTCCAGAAATGCCGTAACTGGAAGAAAGCAGCAATTAAAAAACATCAAATCAGGCTTGTACTGCCAGAAAACTGTTGAAAAATTTGGCTCAATGAATATAGTCTTTTACTAAAAAGTTACACTATATGGTATCTGGCCCCATGGAACAATATGTAATCATAGGAGGCTTATTTCTTCTTTTCAGGTTAGAAAAGCATTTAAAATTCACTGTCACCGAGCCAAAAGTTACACTACTATTCAACTCCAGGAGGCAAAAAACATTCTGACCAAAGAAACTAACATAAAATATTCCCTGGGGCTTCCAAAACCTTGCAAAAAAACCTGAAAAATGGAACCTGTGCTCTCTTTCATCACCACTAAGGACCAAGCCACACACTGGCCATAAACAGCAACAGAGTATCCTTTAACAGAAACAGTAAGCCAAAAATCTGGATAATCAGAATTACTAATTTTGGGGAAATAACAACAATATCCAATACATTCAAATAAACTAAAGCAGTGAAACAGTCACATCTGTGCTTGAGCAAGCTGAAGCTCTGCTTTGTAATGGCAGAACTCCTGCACTTCACTGGCAGACTACAATTAATTTAGGGTTTCTCCATTTATTTCAACATATGGTAAATGAAACTTTGAAAATTTCATTTTAAGATGACCAGATTTTGATGTAACTCGGAACTATGTGACGTTCACTGGGTTCAGGAGGCTTGTAATAAAAATTCATGTGCCAATCTAAGTTGAAAACCATTTACTTAAAAACAATCCAACTTCAAAAAATTACTGTGTCCAGAATTTTCCTTCAAATATTGTAACTTTCACGTTTCAGTTGGCACACAGCTGATAACTGCAGCACCCCTTCACTACACAAGAAATAAATGGAAGGAGCAAAAAACCAATGCATTGCTGTCAGCAAACCACTGCCACCAAGCGAATGAGTGAGACATCCTAACTTCTCAGTTTTACCTTACAGCAGCCTTATGAATACAGGTAACAGTAGTAAACAAATGTAACAAAGAAATGTCACCATTGTAGTACTACTGATTTTTTGGCCATATGCAATGGGTCAAGTTCTACCACTTATCTAGTGAGAACTTTCAAACTAAAACCACACTTTTCCAACCATTGCGTTCCTAGACTTAAACAACAACAAAAAAAGACCCTTACCAGGAATAATCATGAATAAGAGCCTGGGTAGATTTTTATTTTCATCTTTTGAGAGGTCTTTCCAGGGCCCACACTTTAAAACATGGGTAGCAGCTCCACAACAATAGATAAATTCTTCATGCAACGGGACTGGCTCTTCTGACGCTGACCTCATGTTTGCTGTTAGACAGAATAAGACATTGTTAGATCACCAAATATTTACATGGCTAGCTCTTTGCTACTGTACCTTCCCACAGAGTAACTGCAAAAATCCAATCACTTCTCTCCCCAAACACTTGTTATCTCCAGCTAACAGAGACCCCAATTCAACATGTAATGTTTGAATACATCATAGAAGTTGATACATGTTGCTACTATGTGAGGGAAAGCATCTTTCAGTGTTTTTTCACATAAATATATTGTCATTAATTGGACAATAAGTACCTTAAAGGCAAATAATTTCAGATTTCTTATTCACACTGTCCACTGAAACAATTCAGTTGGAACTTATTTGAAGGCAGACAAAAGAAAATACATCAAAGAAAGAGAACTACTGCATTAATGCCTTTGTAATTCTGCATGCTTCAACTACAGGAGCACAGCACTACTTTAATAACAACCACCAAAAAAAAACCCAACAAAAAATAAACAGAATAAAAAACTTAGAAAGAAAATATCAGAGGCCAAAAGGAACATGTTAACTAACAGATTATCTTCCTCATTTTAAATGCAGCATAACTTAATTCTCAAAACATTTTCAAAGGATTAAAGGAGAAGTCTTTGTCAGTTCAAGGTAATGAAGATTTGATCAGTTCAGGGAAATATTTATGGTCATCCTTATAACTTTTCTTAAATGATTCTGTTATTTGAATGCAATAAAGGATAATAAACCAGTATGTTGCCAAATAAATGAGGCACATTCATCACTTCATGTATTTTTCCTAAATGAAATTATTATGTCCCAATATGCCACTACTTTGCAACTGGCTGATTGACCCAACTCCCCGATCTTTCAATCAGCAAAACAGGCCATTTCATCAAGTAAGTACTAACTAATTAAAATGTTATCAAGGTGAACTCTGACATACACAGGCATCCGCCAAAATAACCATTTACCATTTGCAACTACAGGTGCAGTTACCAAGCCAAGAGTTAGAAGCCTGGCCTTGTTGGAGAATGATCACACACATGCGTGACCTAGAAGAGAGATCAGTGCTGGGTAAATGCAGAAAGCTATTTGTGTCAATTCAAGGGCTATTTAAGCTCTACAAAATATTTCCAGTCTTTTGAGAACCACATTCCAGGCTTCTCAAGCAGCCAATCTGGCTTAAACAAAGCTGAAAAACTTGGTTAAACTATTACAGGAATGACTGTGCATTCTTTATCCAATACATGACCATCTATAATGGAAAAGCCTGTGCAACTTAACTGTTTCCACCTGAAAAGGGGAAAAAAGAGATTAATGATAGTGTCTCTGTCTAGTACACCCTGAAAGTTGACTGAAATATGTTATGGAAAGAAAAAAGCATAATGAGATAGTAAGTAAAAAAAACCCTAAGATGACAGGCCAGCAATTCCCTAAAGCAACTCTGAAGTCACATGCAGCCACTGCAGAAACACTTTTTAGTAAACCTCATCTTGAAACAAACAGACAGAAGAGCAACCACCTTTAATGTTGTTGAAGATTATCTTCCCCGAGTTAAAAAAAAACATTATTTCATGTATAACTCACACAGCAGCAATCCATTAGCACATAAAGTTATGATAATTCAAACAAAATGAGAATATGACCAAATAACATTACAATAAAACTTAATATTACTGCATACCATCATGATCTTGACCATTTCAAAAGCATCCAGTTAAAGATAACATTAGGCCTTTCAAGTGTTTTTGCTTAGTGAAAAAACCCCATGTATTTCGAATACAAGGATCCAAATTCTACTTCAAAGTTTTAGGCACATAAACTAAAGCCAAAGACCTACAAAGTTTGAAGGATCAGGAGGTGAGGGGCACTACTTTCACAAACAGTCACTGGGAAATTCTCAGTTCAAGACTACTTGAAAGGAACAGATCTGAATGAAGTTTTGCCATGAAGCTGAAAAAGGCAACACAGAAGAGACAATGGTTTATTTTAAACTAACAAGAAGTACCTTTAAAAAAAAATCTAGTACAATGCAAAGAGAAAATGCTTCTGGAGGGAAGGGAGAAGTGTTTTTTAATACTTTCAATTACAGAAAAATTCTCTGGATGATGATTTTTATCCCACCTCCCTACTCCACCACCAATTTTAATGCCAAAGAAGGCATCTTTACTGCTTGACTATTCACTGTGTTAACTCTAACTTACAGTAACTGCAACTGTGTGAAGTGACTAGTGTTCAGCCATAATAAGGTATATTTTGCAATGCATTATTCCTGCTTTCAATTCTTATTACTCAAAGCTGAAAGAAGTCAAAAGCAGCTCTGACAGAGAAATTCAGTTACATCAAAAACCAAAGGAAACTTTTAGCTTGTCATCCCTTTTCTGAGGTGTTTGCTATCCAAAAAGCAAAAGTTACCTTACCCAAGAAAATAGCTTTTATATAAAAGTTTCCAATCAGGAACCAATAAAACCAGTTGTAAAATTTCATTTCAGATTGACTTCTGAGAGAATTTAATTTATTTATTGTTGGGTTTTTAATTTGTAACTTTATGGCCTTCAGTAGTAGAAACGGGCTGAAGAGAAGATAAAAGGCAGATAGATACTCCTGAGACACTACTCAGACCTGTTTTAAGATGAAATTAGTAATACCTCTGGACCTTCTTAGAATCATTAAAGTTGGAAAAGACCTTCAAGATCATAAAGTCCAACCATCTGCCCTACATCCCCTAACCACTAAACCATCTCCTGAAGCACCACATTCACCCGTAGTTTGAACATCTCCAGGGATGGTGCCTCCACCACCTCCCTGGGCAGCCTGTTCCCAGACCTCACCACTCTTTCTGTGAAGAAATTTTTCCTAATATCCGATTGGAACCTCCCCTGATGCAACTTGACCCTCTTCATAAATGAAGCTTTGAATAAAAGTATTTCCATTGTAAGCAACTATCTTCAGCATGAACTGCCAGTGTTTCCCCTAGAATTATCTTAAGATGGCCCATCAGTTTCCAAACACATTTAACAGGCAGGAGTCTTGTGAGCTTGTAGAAGTCCCACCTCTTCCAGCTGGTGGAGAGTATAGGTTGTGCCACAGCTTTAAGAAAGCCAAGGTGAAGGTAGAACCACAAAGTTGACCAGTGGGACTTTCATATGTGTCACCACAGAGGAAATGAGTAAGAGAGAAACAGATGCAACTATGTAGGAAATCAGGCCTTACTACATCTCATGCAATATTTTCTTCATACTCTCTAAACTCTGTCCATAAACTCTCTAAACATACATGGAAAAATACCACAAGGAAGGCAGATTCTGCCAGCAGTACTTAACCCAGTAAGAAAATTCTGCTAGAATACACAAGCTTTGACTTACAGGCTAGGGCTTCAGCACTAGATTAACAAACCCTTCATGTAGGTGTCTACCTGAAAGCAAACTCCTATTACAGGATACAAAGATCTGGGCAGCAGTAGATGGACTGATTAGTGAACAACTGTGGGACCAGCCACAAGCTTTCTACCTTAGGATGAGAAAATCATCCCGTAGTTAGCGAAACCTATAACAAGAACTTAAGAATACACTTGCAAGCCAACACACATATTTGTGTGTCCTAGCGTTGATCTGGACTCCACCTACTGTCACTGCTGCAGATAAGAATATTTGCAAATAGTTATCCACACGGAGCAGATTACTTCTGCCATATGATTAAGTCTCTTCATTTTTGGCTCAACTGATTCCAAAGTAAAATGTTGATAGTAAAACTAGACCCTCTTTGCAGACTTTGTGCTGAATTATTGATGCAACTGTCCTGATTGCATATTAACTGCTCCATCTTACTTTGTCACTTGGACTTTACATTTTATTTGGAAGATAACTGGGGAATAACAACATTGTTTAATCAAAGAATTGTCACAAACTCAGTCTAGCACCACATAATGTAACCAGATGAAGTCAATTTAGATTTGGCCTACAAACCATCCAATCGCAATACAGGACAAACAGGTCGGTGTAGCTGATCTTAAGAATGATGCAGACAGGAGATATGTAATCACCAGGGCAAAAATAAGTTGCATAAAGGAGTGGCGCAACCAAGTTAAAGGAGGAAGGACCACTAAAGCAGATTTGACAGATGAGATTCCACAAAGCCATAAGAAATACATCCCTGGGTGCCCATGGCCAGGGTTATTGAGAGGCCATTCTGTATCCGTTTCAATGTATCACAATGACTCAGGAAGTGCCTGAAACTGCAAAACCGCACCACCATGCACGTGTTGGAATGCACGGGGACCTACAGCTCTATCAGCCTCAACTGAGTTCTCAGAAATGCCCCCAAACTTGTACTCAGGCATATTAAAGCAACTGGGAGCACATCCTGCATGGAACTGGTGAGGGCACATCATGCCTTCTATCATTGCCTTCTATGACAAGGTGAAAGCCTCAGTGAATGAGGAGAGACACTAGAAGCTGCTAAGCTTAACTTGAGAAAGGCCTCCTGCACTGTCTCCAATAGTATTCTTAGAGCTAAGCTGGTGACATTTGGACTAAGCAGTCTATACGTTGCTCTTGGGGGAAAAAAGAATTGGGGGGGGGGAAGTAAAATAAAAGGAATCTAAACCAGATCAGCCCCCTCCAAAAAAAACACAGGAAACTGAACTAGATGTATTCCATGGATTAGCTGTACCAGATAAATGAAAAAGAAACACTAACCAAATTGGTGAATTTAAGTGATTGAATGCAATGTCACACTGCAACAGAGTAACTGGAAAAATAGAGATACCTCTAGCTGCCTGCTGAGCTATGGTTCTAACAATTTCTGCAACATTATCCCCAGAAGAGAATCATCCAGACCTGACATAAGCTCCTTGATTTGCAGACTGGAGTGAATACACTCACAGCTAAGAGCTAGAAACAGAAGGAACACACTGACTGACCTGGTAGAAAATCTGGAAAGGTGAACAAGGGGAGGAAGGGGGAAACACAGGATGCTTAGTTGTCATCAAGGATTTCTTTGGACAAACTACAGACAAACGGTGGATGTCA